GGTACCTATGTAACCGGTATGTACTAGAACCGAATCCGAACGCAGATTTCTGTGCCTCATTTCGGAGTCACGCCTGAGCGATCGATTGAAATTTTTGTCCTCTGGTTCGCCAAAACAGACATAAGAAGCATCATCACTAGCACCGCACGTGAAAAATAATTTCCCGACTGAGAAAATGCACATGAACTCAAGTCGGAAAGCTCTAATAATACAAATCCAACACATCTTGGTAGTAACGCGAGTGTCCATGTTGTTTTCACATTCGACTTAAAAGCACAACTCGGGAAATGAGAGCATCCGAGGAGTGCGTGAATGCAGTAATTACACTTGCTCTGATGCTTTCCGTTAACTAAGCGTGTTATTGGGAGCCCAGAATGCCTGTGGACAAGAGTTGAGTGTATTATTCATCTGCATTGATATTTATTTTAAGAACAATATCTCTGAGCTTACAATAAAGAGTCTGTTTTCTATTTTAAATGGGTTTTATCAGCTTGACAAATATTTGCACATTTTATCTGCATACAAAAAAAGAAGAAAAAGTGCAAAACATCCGAGCCCATTTTTCCAATTTTTATTCAAATTTACATAGCTGAATGTGTCAATGTGCTGTGTTTAAACAGCATTGTTTTTGTTTTTTTAAGGTAGTTCTGAAGTAGTCTGAACGTATGTTTTGGGTCATTCTCTTGCAAAACCCTGTAGTAGTCTTTTGTTTCAACTCTGAATTTAGTAAAAGAGTCCCAGATCATCACGCTTCCATCTCTATGTTTGACAGCTGGTGTCACATAATGGACAAAAACATCCTTTTGCCTGCTCAACACAATATAAAAACTGTGTATAAATTGTGAATTTTTCTTTTTATTGTCAAACCTGCAGCTCATTTCCTCATTCTCCTTGACTTTCCTTGCAAATTCTCTAGAAGAGTATTTATCGGAGTCATCGCAAACTTATAAAACCGCTCACTCCAATATTTTTAATCATAACAATTAGTTGTTTCCAAAAGTCAGTGTACTTAAAGACTCTCACTGACAGCATCGCAACCTTGTTAGTAAACAGTACCTGTAGGGAAGTAACGATTATATGTTGTATATGATTAGGGTTGGGTACCGAAACCCAGTACCAATATGGCACCGGTACCTATGTAACCGGTATGTACTAGAACCGAATCCGAACGCAGATTTCTGTGCCTCATTTCGGAGTCACGCCTGAGCGATCGATTGAAATTTTTGTCCTCTGGTTCGCCAAAACAGACATAAGAAGCATCATCACTAGCACCGCACGTGAAAAATAATTTCCCGACTGAGAAAATGCACATGAACTCAAGTCGGAAAGCTCTAATAATACAAATCCAACACATCTTGGTAGTAACGCGAGTGTCCATGTTGTTTTCACATTCGACTTAAAAGCACAACTCGGGAAATGAGAGCATCCGAGGAGTGCGTGAATGCAGTAATTACACTTGCTCTGATGCTTTCCGTTAACTAAGCTAAACATGCTTAAATTAAAATGCCTAAAGCTAAACCTCCCTTGTATTCACATTTCTAAACCTATTGTCCAACAAAAGAGAACATTATAACCTTTTTACTCCACGACACCAGTCAAATGCTTCCTTTTGTGATCTGATTAGGCTTCTTGTCACAGAATGAGGCAGAACATATGTTCCATACGCTACTTTAAAAAGAATACATCGATTAGCAATGGATTATAAATATACTTAATTATTATGAAATACCAGATGGCTTGAATAACACAGATAAACTATATTGACGCAGTCGAGTGTTGATTGTCTTTGTTTTATCATTCAAAACGTTTATATCTTCTATGTACTCAGTTAAAGATACGAATTGCTAAGGGCCAATCCGTCATTTTTGGGGGAATTTTTTTTTTAATAAGCATCGGTTCAGGCACCGGAACCGTTTTAAAAGTATCGATTTGGCACCGGTATCGAAAAAAAAAACCGATACCAACCCTATATCTGATGCGTCTCTGCTGTTGGTTGTAATACTGGTGAAGTAAATCCACGCTTTGCTGAGGAAGCGTTAGGAAACTCTTGAGCAGCAACAACACTACCATGTACTCCGCCATTGTTGTGTATGTTTGTTCGCTTGCCTTTAAAATCAACATGTTTTTTTGTAATCTCGTTAAATCATCATAATTCTTTCTCAAATCGAGCCGATCTCAGATGCCTGTCTGTGTGACGTCACACAGACAGGCCCCTCCCACGATAGTTTAATTGACAGTAGCGTTTCAGAACAGACTGCAATGGCGTCTTACCTTAGCTCCGCCCTGAGTGAGCTGTCATCAGTCCGCCATAGGCCTATTTCACAATATGGCGACCGAGATCGGAAGTAGGGTAGCGGTACTTCCGGTCGCGCACTACTACAATCACCATTCATAATCATAATGGACTGCGAACAACTTGTTTTCTCCCAGTCGATAAATTATCTGCCAAAATCAGAATAGCAGATGTTGTCCGTTTTGTTGACAATTTGCAGGGAGATGTGAAAAGATCCAAATTGCACAAAGGCTACAAATTCTTTTTTGAGCAATTTATTTTTGATTATCAGGGTATGAATAATGAGCCAGTTGCCATGACACTGCTTTTTTGAACTGATTACTTTTATGGTTTTATGGATGATTTTCAAAGCGGTTAAATAAAAACTAATTTCTTGTTAACTGTGTGTGTGTTTGGACACTTCAGTCTCAAATATTATTGCAGGGAAAGTGGTAATTAGGGTCAGATGTTATAGGTCGTTAAGAAAGCATGAGAAACCACATCAGCTCGAGGTAACTTAAATACATACAGGATTTAGTTCATGTTGAATAGTACCTTTTTGATAATAAAATGGTTTTCAACGTAGCCTATTAGTTATCTCAGTCCATAGCAACAGTAACTGAATAATTTAGTAAGGAAGCACCTTCCGCAGTTAGGATTAAAACAAAAAGAATGGGATTCAACATGCTTTTCTGTGCTTAATGACATTTATGTAGTAATGGTCATTTTAACCTCTGAGCAGTGTTCAGGGTATTTCAGGACCTCAGATGACATTTGCTTGAAAAAAAAAAAAAGTGTTCCCCTCATCTAAATGACATGACACTTGATGACTTTTTTTACACTTGCTACACACACACACACACACACACAAAACAGAAATTGGAATGTCGGATTGTACATTAGTGTAATAAAGTCACTAAGGATGTTCATCTAGTCAGTGTCTTTAGTTTAAATTCCACGTTATTTTAATTTTAAAGGTGTTTTCCAGTAGATGACAGTAATCTTTCACTAAACTATGGAAGACATTTTTCATATCACCATGAATGAAACCAAGAAATTTAGATATTCTTTAAAGTCAACTCTACATATTTATTTTGTATAAACATTTATTTCATATAAACATGTAATACTTTTTTTTCAAAAATTGAGGCAAAAAAAAAGTTTAAACAAAAATACCATACCAACTGTATAATAAAAACATTACTCAACAAGTGAGTGATATTACAATTCACGATTGTTATAAAATCATATTTTACTAAACAGCCACAGTGTACATTCTGAACAGCTCACAATGGTTAAATAAAGATGTGAAATATATATGTCTTTCTATTACTTTCTTCAGATTACACTTGAAGACAACACTCCACTTCAAGTGGCAGCATATACAATGCTCTTGTGCTGCTGGAAGAAGTTTGTGCAACCATCTGGTTACTTTACCAGACAGCACATTTTAGTACAATTGGAACCAAAAATGTTCCAGCTGCCCTTGCATGCACAAGCAAACAGCAGGCCTGGCATAGGCTCCGAACCCAGGTAAATATAAATAAATAAAGACAGAAATCTCATTCGTCAGTTTTTAACAATTTTAATTAGCCAACTATGAACAAATAAAATTAATTTAAAATGCATAATGTGCAAATCAGAGTGCAATCTAGTGCAAGATATACATGTTTTGTCAGGGCATCACTCGCAAACCAGTCGATGAGCTTGTGGTGCGCAAACCGAAAGCCTCTGGTAGGAGCTCTGTGCAGTCTACTCTGTACAAAGCATATGGAGGTGATATCCAAATACTAATAAAACACATCTTCACATTAGGTAACAATTAAAACACTGAGGCATGAACTTTTTTTAGAACCTTTATCTGACAATGATGTCATTGCTGGAGCAGCATCCCTCATTTCCCGTTGTTCACAAACACTGATAGCGAAGATAGTTGATGGAATGTCTGCTCTAACCATGGTGTCTTCTCAATTTGGAGAGGTCCCAAAAGGATCACTG